CTATAAATCAGAAGCCAGGGTAGGTAACTGAAAAGGTAATAAGCCTTGGTAGATTACAAATATTTCTTTTATGTACAGAATTTTTTGGTTTGACTTACTGTCTCTCTAGGAGTCTCTAATACTTCATCTATTATAATATATCCATTATGGCTTAATGTTTGTTTAATATTTCCTGTACCAAAATGCATGATCTCTTGAGAGTTAAATTTAGTAGATTAAAATGAACTCTCTTCCATTCTTTTCATATGGCAGTCTGCCCATAAGATCAAARCACATAAGTATGTTATGTTTAATTTCCAAATCAGAGTGTTGTGGACAGATGCTTGAAAGCTTATGACTTTTGCATGGCTTTCTGCCTGGAAAACCACACCATAGATTGTACTATTACTGCGGTATACTGCCATGGTGATGACATATATAATTTTATCATAACCTTCTGTTAATGGCCCAAATTATGTCTTTTGTAATGACCATGCAACCGAACTACCATGCAAATATGAAGAGATACTTCAATCTTTAATGTCAGCTGATCTAAGTCAAATAACATGATAGATGATAATTATTTTCACCCTTCTCTGCATTTCTTTAAACTTTATCCAGCTCAAGGTGACAGASCCATAATTAATAACATTTTCAATTTATGCAGTTTGCCCAGCTGTTTCTTCACTCTGTAGCTATGTTTGTCTGTGTGTGGAACATAGCTAGTCATGGTTTTTACAGAAAACATTTGAGTGACCATTTTATTTTAATATGTGTCCCTCATTGTTAATGTTCATTGTTACATTGCAGCTTTTGAAGCTAATTTTTCATCAGAAAAGTAGACTGTGTTCTTACTCAGTAAATTCACATTTTTATTTAGACACTGATTCAAACACATTTTGGAAAACAGGTTTGCATACAAAGATTTCATAGACYTTTAAATTTACCCTTATATATTACGATAAGAATGATAAGAGAAAAGGGACATCATTTTTTGTTTGCTTCCTTATGTCAGCATAGTAAAAAAAATACTGTTTTGTTATTCAATTTATACCTAATGAATCCACTCAGAATGGAAGCTGCTTAATGGAACAAGGACATCTTTATGACAAGTTTGTTACTTTTGTAACAAAAAACGCTAAACTCTACCACATTTTAACTTGGTTGTTCTCTGGTTGCCTTCTCATTTATAAATCAAATATTTTTACTGTCTTGTTTTGATGCTTCTTATTGCTCTGGTGTAACAGCTCAAAGAACTCTCTGTCTGGGGTGTTGCAGCAGAGCAGAGTCAGACAGTTCTGCTCAGAGAAGGAAGTGGAGAGTTTTGGTTCCCATTTTGCACTTCTGGAACAGTTTAGGGAAGGAAGCACCTTTACACCTTTTATTGTTYGTGGTTGCTGACATAATATCCTTCCCTGGCCACTCTGTGCGTGCTTCCTGCCATTCTGTCAAGATTCTTCTGTGTTGCAGAGCAGGGGTAGCGGGTGTGCATGTGTGTGTTTTTGTGTGCACATACGTCTCTGTGTGAGCACTCAAAAGAGAGGCAGGAACGCTCGAGTGATCTGCTGCCTTTGTCCTTTAGCTCTTCTCCTGAAGAGAACTGCCACTGATTCTGCCAAATTATATAGTGAACAGAAGCCCGCCAAAAATGAAGTTCCTCTTTTTGTAAGCAGTTTGGTTTGTTTTGGTTTTGTTGTTGTGGTTTGTTTTTTTTTTTGGTTTTTTGTTTGGTTTTTTTTTTTTTTAACCAATGTTTGGCTTAGCAAAAAAATGTAGAAAACGATAACCTAATAACATCTAACTCTGTGTTTCTTTAAATGAAATTTGTTTCCACAAGACCATTAAGTTGAAGGGTTTCTTGTGTATGGAGTTTCTTCAACAAAGTTCCTTTTTAGATTCTCTGGATTATTGAAGATTACAGTACTATTTGGTTTTTGTAGTACATTCAATTTTTCTCATCAATGTGCTTTATTAATGTTGTAAAATAATAATTTTCCAGTTAACAGGAACTTTAAATCCTTGATACTGCAGTCCTTGATTCTGCAAGGACTTTCAAAAGGTGTTGAGAACACTGGTGAAATCTGTGAAGCCACAGGGATTTGTTGGTCTCCAGAATTCTTTACATTCTGTTTAACTTAGAAATTACCAGCCTTTGAAGGTTATAGCCCTTGCATGAGATGACTTGATTTACTTATCTGAATTTCATTGACTGGTAATCAATCCAGCTATCTTTTTTTTTTGTAGATACTGATGAAGTGTATAGAACTATGTGCAAGCATATTGTAAGAATAGCACTTAAAGCAGTATGAGTTTATAGATAGATGTGTATATATGCGTATATGTGTGTGTGMTGTAAAACAGTAAGAGAGATATAGTGAATTCCACAGGCTTTGCAATTGGTTTCTCATAGTAGCAATAGCAGAAATTGGTTTTTTTTTTTAAAGGAAATAAATTTGCTATGGAAATTGAAAAACTTTTGTTTGAAATTAGACTAGTAAGCAAAATGCAAACTAGGACCTACAGGAAGAAAAATTGGAGGTTTTAATCCGTGCAAGAAAACTTAACTTACTGCCCATTGAAGCAAATTTATGGTTTTTTTCAAGTTATGTGTTTTATACATATGACCTAATTATATGTTTTAAACAAAATTCTGCTTATCAAGACTTACATGAATTAATTCTAGATAATTTTGTGTAGATCACAGGAATTTTAAGGTTCTGACTTTAAACTGTCTGTAAAACCTTTTGTTGTTTGGAGACTGGTCTTAAATGTGGAACTGATAAGTGTGTGGGAGGGCCTCAACTGCTCCTCCACCTTGATTTTTGTCCTTCCTGACAGAGTTTTCTCTGTATTAATTTTTTTCTAACTCACTCAGCATCAACAACATGTTCCACAGAGCAGCTCGTCCTCACTAACCAGTCACAACTGCTCTGATGTGTCAGCCCTGACCTTCCACACCACTGTGAATAGAAGATAGGCAGACAGGGTGCTGTAAACCGATAGTGCCACTGGCCTCAGCTGAATGAAAGGAAAGGAAGTTGTTTCATATGCATTTGCTGCGGATTAGTGTATGTGTTTGCTGCTACAGAAAAAGCCTGTTAGGCTCCTTTGAGTCCTGATTGTGCTTGGGAAACGCCATTCTAATTTGCRCTTTTTGTTGGAGATAAGAATGTAGGAAAAACAGGAAAGAAACCCAATCCCAGGAACTTAAAACTGTTTCTAAAAATAGACTGTGTTTGTTTGTCAACACTGAAAATCAGATAAGACTGTCTCCTAATTTTGTTTGGAAAAAGACTTTAAATAAWACAATTACAGAATAAATTTATTTCAAAGTTTTGGACTTTTTTAAGCTTTGATGCAAATATGATCAACAACTTTTGTATTTTTTTAAGCAATGAGAAGTTACTGCTTTCAAGAATAAAAAGCTGCAAAGAATTTTTGCAGTCTACATTTTACTATATTTGGAATACAGATTGTTCCATATACTGTGTGAGGCATTATGGTAATGATATATAAATCTAGAAAATAATATAAAATTATGTTATAATATAAAAAGGCATTCATTCACAGAAATGCAATAAGTATGATTTTTGAACATTTGTTTAGGCCAACAGATTAATTACATCATAGTGGCTAGTTAGACAACAGACTGACTGCTTATTCATTAACCTTTTTTCTTAGAGTGATAAAACCCTCGAGCAGCTTGAAATTTAGTGTATATGGAGAATATCAAAAGATAATTGAGGATCAGAAGGAGCGAGATCTAGCTTTTCTACCTCAGTAGCTTTGAATCAGAATAATGGATTAAATGCCCAGGACATCAGCTTAATGTTATGTAACATACTGTGAGAATTTATCAGGTTGGCTGAAAGACTCTAAGTTTAGAATAAATAAGGAAATACCAGCCTCTCTTTTAAAATTACTAATTTATTTCCAAGGCAATATTTTCACTACATTATGGGGCTAACATAAAAACATCTAAAGTATATATAAATTCATATTGTTCAGATTTTTTTCCCCTTCTGTGTTTCAAAAAACTTTTTTGCTGTGCTACTAAAAATATATMAATATAAAAWTATGGTAAACTGAGATTATGAAGGGGAAAAAACTTGACTAGCTTTTTTTTCATTTCCATCTACTTTTTTACTGTTAAAAATACTTTTGATATAATAGAAATTAATGGTTTATAACATTTTGTGAAATAGGGAATGTTTTCTACATTGTGTGCTTTCATATGCTGTACGTCTCCTTAGCTCTGTGACAGAGCCAGTATTGTAAAGCTCAGCGTATTACTAGAACAGTGAAAATATTTTTCAAAGCTTTCTTAAATGAACTTCTGCCTCTACTATTCTGTTTTCATAAACAGAAAAATGTGTTTGCAGGTTATAAATCCTTTGTCAGAACATTTTAAAATTTACACTGAAATGAAATGAGGGAAGAATGCACCAGTGTTTTCTTAAGTATCTTCAGTAATACTTTCACTACTCTGTATTCTTAAAGAATTAAGTTAAGAAATTTGGATTTAAAGTAATTAGCATCCCTTATATATCAAGTAAGACTTTTATTAAAGTCCACCRTATTTTCATAATGTGGGACATTATCACCTCTGCTGTCAAAACACAAAATTGTTTTCCCTTCAGAAATGAATTAGTTGGCCTGTTTAGCATACATAGGTGCAGAATGGTTCATGAACTCTCTGATTTAAGTAATTTTTCATATTAGAGCTGTAATTGATATTTAAAATTAGAGACAACTAATTCTGTTAAAATTTTCACAATGTGTATTTCAGTCTTTTTCTTCATATCTTGATATATTAATGTTTGGGGTTTTCTTTCATAAAAATAACCCTTTGAATAAAATTATTTTTCCTCTGTGCATTGCTTATTTTATGGGTATAGTAAATTTTTATTATCAATTACTTGTACACTAAATTATAATGAGGATGCTTGGCCAGCTCCATAAAATAACTTYCATCTAACTATCAATTTCATAATAACATTTTATTTCCTTTCTGTGTTTAGCAGGAACGGATGCAGGGGACTGTGAACTGAGTAGTGCAAGTGCTAAAGAAGGAGATTTGGTTTGAGGAAACAGGAAAGAGGAAGAAAATAGAAGGGAAAAATACGTAATTTTAAGGAAGAAGGAGAGAAAAAAAAACGGGGACTATGGGGAGAAAAAAGATTCAGATCACAAGGATTATGGATGAACGTAACAGACAGGTGAGTTGCAAAAATTCCTGAATTGTATTTATGAGGCAAGTTATTATTAGAAGTGATTAAAAAGTTGATAACTTTGTGTATGCATACACCTGCATATATATACATATACACAATGTCAAAGAAAAAGTACAGTTCTAAACAACCTGAAACCTCACAATGTTTTTGAGTTTACTTACATGTACAATTAGGAAGTTATACCTTGAGAACTTGGTTTTTCAAAGACTGATGTGTGTGGTCTACTCTGCACTTGCTTTGACTTCAGTCTGGAATACTGAATTGTTACAGATTTTTAGTAGTGTATTTTGTGAATTTTTATGAGTTGTTATAATATGAGGACTTGTATTTAAATTCAGAGATTCCAATTATTTATGCGTCTTCACCTTTGCTGTGTCTATTTTTACCCCCTTCAAAAATGACACTGCTTCATAAAAAAAATCTCTTCCTGTCTGAATTTTAAAAATAATTTGAGTAGTCTAACACATTCTAAAACTCACATATTAGTATGCTGTAGTCTTAAAACCAAGTGACCATCACTGATGCTAAGGCTAAATAGGTCCAACATGACTGGTTAACTGATTTTTACCTCAGCTTTAAATGAAATGGCTAGGGAGCTGTCACATATTATCAACACTATTTCTGCTACTTAAAACATGGTCATAAATTGGAGAACTTGCTTCCCTGTTTTCATAAAAATAAAATTCAATGACTGCCATCTTCAAATAAAATCAGTGAAGGTTGCTGCTGTTTACATTTGATGTAAAGAATGGATGTTTTGTTGAAAGTGATGAATCACAATTGTGAGAATCTCTCCCTTTAATTATTTCATACTGTGAATAATGTTCTTCATACACCTGGCTGCAATTTAGGAATAATAGTCCATAGCTGATTTTTAGTAGCTTAATACTGAATTACTACTAATATAGTAGTTCTAATAATTTAATCTATCAAGTTCTTCATATATTCAGGCATTTTTAAGAATCCCTTAATTTTGGAGGAGTTTATAAAGCCATAAAACCTCAGCTTAAGAATAACAACAAATTACAGTCCTTTAATATGCTTTCCAAGAATTTTTAAATTTTGTAGTGTTAGTAGTAAATTGTGATCTCCATAGCAGAAAAAAATATGTAAAAGCAAAATGTTCCTTATGATGGATACATTTTGTGTTTCCCCTACAGATTGCCTGTTGATTGCCTGTTGTTGGGAGAAGAGCTAAAAAGCAGTAATTCTAACAATATAAAACTATCATCATATTTATTTTAATTGTCTTAGAGCTTGGAGTTGAAATTGGATTTCAAATATTGAACTGAATTTATCATTAAATATTAAGTCAGTAGTCTGAAACTAGCCCATGCTACAAGGGTTTCTTTTTTAAGGGAAACTGAATAATTTTGTAAATGACACCCCCAAATTTTGTCATTACTAATATTAGCTCATACAACAGCTTCAATCTGAACTTGCTTAGTCAAATATAGGATTTACAGAGATTTTAGCCCCACTTTTATGAAAAAAAAATCTTTCAAGGGGTAAATTTACCTTTAAAAAGAAGGCAGCTAGTCTTTCAAATCATGCACAGTAGAATTTCAAGAATTCCAGCATCAGCTTTCAGAACTAATAATTATGAAAAAAACTGTAACATTAGAATGCCAACAACTGTAGTGTTAGTGCAGAAGTGTTTGTCTTGCTAGCATTTCTTAAACTTAYAGAATCACAGAATGGTTTGAGTTGGAACAAACCTTAAAGATCATCTGGCTCCAAGTCTTCTGCCATGGGCAGGGGCACCTTCCAAAAGACCAGGCTGCTCAAAGCCACATCAAACACTTCTAAGGGCAGTGACAGCTTCTCTGGTCAGCCTGTGCCAGTGCTTCWCCACCCTCACAGTAAAGAACCTTTTCCTAATGTCTAATCTAAACCTATTCTCTTTCAGCTTGAATACATTCCCTTCTGTCTTGTCACTCCATGCCCTTGTAAAAGGACCCTCTCCATCTTTCTTGTAGGCTCCCTTCAGGTACTGGAAGGCTGTAGTTAAGTCACCCCAARCTTTCTCTTTCCCAGGCTGAACAATCCCAATTTAGTATTTGCTAATGTCGATTAGCCGCTGTGAGGCTGGATATATAGATTTACATTATTTTACATTCCAGATAGTAAAACTGGCTTTATTCTGCTTCTTACTTCTACAAATAAATTAATAATTTTTAAAGTGTTTCTAGTGGTTTTATCTTGCATTTAGTGCCCTGATTTAAAGCCCAGTGATGTCTGTGAAAAGATTTTCATTGTTAAATTGGACTGCAGGATCAGCCTTTTTAATTGTAGAGATATATTTTTGATTAAATACAACTGGATTTTCAGTAATAGATGATTGATGCTTTAACCACTGATATGAGATGTACTCTTTCACAAACCTCACAGGTTCTTAAAATATCATGAGGTATTGCTGCTTCAGCATAGCAGCATCAGTTTATTTGTTTTCTAGCTTGCACACTTCCAGCAATCTTAAAATATTAACTTGTTTGTATTCCTATATTGTCTTCTTATTTGATTGTATAAATATACACCAAAAAAGATTAAAAGGTTGCACCAAAAAAAAAAAAGTTGAAAGTTTTTACTTAGTAAAGGTAAGATGCCAGCTCAAGCAGAGTTCCACAAAGCTTACTTGTAGGTCTATTTACAAAAGGAGACATTTTCTTTCTACCTCATCAAAAGATGTTTGCGAGAACAGTAGCAAGTCAAGAAAGGCTAGAAACTGCCCTCTTGTTGCTTGTATTCAAACATGGTGTGGTTTCACACTACCATCTATGTTAGATGGGAATATGATATCCCTGGACGGTCCATCCTCAGCTGTTCTCAAGCACGTAAATCCTCTGCAGTACAGTACATGCTGGTAAAAATATGTGGAACACATACCAAGTGAGGAGATATAGCAGTAGTTTAATTATTCTGTCTCCTCTCCCAGTGCAAAGGTGAATCTATTTGGAAAGCAGAATATTCGTCAAAGGGTTCAGGTTGTTAAAAGGCATGGGAAACAAAACTCCTGTCATTGCTTTTCCACTCACTTTCCYGGCCTCCTGAGTAGCTATTTGTGTCAACCATTGAATGGTGTAATCGTTCTGTCAGTGAAACAACTGTTTTCTTCCACACTACTACCTGATATAGCAGGAGACTCCCCTACTCTTCAAAGTGCTTGTATGAGTGCATTGAGAGGGACAAAAATTGTGCTGACCTTCCTTCAAGAAAATTTCTTCTGTGCAAGTCTAGTACATTGGATTTTTGCTTTAGTGATTATACTGGTAATAAATGTAAGATCAAACTATCCGGAGTCAGATTTCTGGCTGCAAATCTCAGAGGACTGTGAAATACAAGGCTACAATCTATGCTTTTCCAAAAACTATTTGAAACTTTGACTTTTGGGGATAATGTTAAGGAAAACTACTGCAACATAGTCATTAGAGGCCCAACCCTTTTATCTTGAGCTGCTTAACAGTTCTCACACTGGCTTTAGCGAGTGCAGAATTCAGGCTTTTAACTAAGAGGAGCCATTAATTTAATGTTTTCTCATGTGAGCTGCAAGTTGGCTGTATTTTTCTAGTCGTCATTGTTACCATGTGGTGACAAAGGTGGCAACAATGTTTTATTCTTATGAATGATCATAAATTCTCTTTGGTTGTGAAAGTTTCAAAGTCTACCTGTAAAGTTCCCTTTCAGTCTGCTTTTTGCCACTTGTAGAAGGAGTATGAATTGCCAGGCCTAAAGTAAACACGTATTTATTTTATATAGTTTGGTTACTACCATAATATTAAATGGAAATGAGAACTTTCTAGAGAATCCTGTTATCAGCAGCCAATGTGCCCAAATCCTTACTTTTTATTCTTGTGATAATTCTTGAATAATATAGTTCTATAAATGTGGAATGAATTGCTGGTAATACTGTTCAGGCTCATGAGGTTGTATTAGCCTTGTCAACAGACCATCCCAGTAGATTGTGACTGCCTACATGGTATTAGCTGCACCATCAACCAAACCAACCACAAGGATGAATAGCCAAAAATATTAGCATTCACATCTGATGCTAGAAATTCCTGAGTGTTACACATTCTTTCTGCAGAATTTTCAATTGAGCAGATTGCAGGTTTCTGTGAAAACTTCTAAGTTGGTTAAAAAAAAAAAAAAAAAAAAAAAAAAAAAAAAAAAGAGGAAGGTCATTTGGAAAAACTGTGTGAACTTTATTTTCCTGTATTTTCTTAATTGAAAGAATTAATTCAAGTACCACTGTTATGGTCAACACATGAGGGGAAAATGGCATTCACCTGCTTCAGAAAAGTCCTTGTACTTTTTTATATGCTTGTTATAAGTTTGAAATATTTGGTTAGTTTTATTAAGATTTTTTTTGTGGCCTGCCTTAGACAGGGATCATCTGGAACTCTCTTTACAGCCATCCAGACATGGCGGTCCAGGCCTAAAATAAATAGATGTGATGACATAAATGATATTGTCTTACAGTTATACAAGGTCTCTCACAAAATACCTCATTAACTCCATAGTCTCTGAGTTAAATCCAGAGATACATTGACCCAGGAATGAGGGCATATTGACTCAATGATTTCTGGTGTCAGATCTGGAATGCTCTTGCATTTAATCCCCATTTTTTTTCTAAATAGAATTAGGAAATGCAGAGTCTTACATCATGATGCACCATTTTTTGTTCCAAAGATTGTCTTGCTCATTAGTTTTGCATTTTCTTCCTGCTTTTGAAGATGCATAATTAAAACTGAGTTTACCTTATCTCATGATTCTGCACAATTTTCAAAATATTTCATTCAATTTGTAATGAGCTGTTGGGCTCTAACTTATAAAATATCATGCTAAGTGTCCACTTCAATACTAAGGAGCTTAAACAGTGAGACACCCTTTCTACAGTGTCATGTCTGTGTAATTCAGTGGGGTATTACAGTAACAAACACTTGCTGTTTAACCCTTTTCATGCCCATCATTACTTTTTACCATTA